GTATGATACTAAACTGTTTATTAAACCACTTCTATGTAATTATTTCTCTTTAACCAATTTCTGTTCTCTCTGGAGGACATAACTAGATTAATTCCAAAGTTAACCTTTGATATTTTTATGTTCATACATGAAGTACAGCACATTAATAGATAATTGTTTAAAGGGTATTTGTGAATCTCAAACAAGAAGAAATGCACATGTAGAGCTCTTCTCCCTATGCAGTACCCAACCCCCTTTAAAAAAAAAAAAAAAGATTGCTTTTGTCAGATGGACATAGTAGGCCATATTTAGTGGAGTATGTCTGACAACTTTGGGAAAAATCAAAGAAGTTCTTCCTCATTGGATGGGATATAATCTCTGTTTTTTGACTGGGAAATTTAATCCATTTAAAGTAATTACCAATAAGGCAGACCTTACTTCTGTCATTGTGCAATTAATTTTCTATGTGCCTTATAATGGCTATTTTGTCCCTCATTTCCAGTATTACTGTCTTATTTTGTGTTTGGTTGATGTTTTTTTGTAGTGAATTGTTTAAATTCATTTCTCATTTCCTTTTATGTATATTCTATAACTATTTTCTTTATGGTTACCATGAAGATTACATTTAACATCCTAAAGTTATAACACTATAATTTGAATTTATATCAGCTTAACTTCAATAATATTACAAAAACTTGCTCCTTTACAGCTTTGTCTCCATCTCTTTTCAGTTGTTTTTGCTACAAAATTACATCTTTATACATTGTATGCCAAAAAACATAAATAAATATTTAAATGCACTAGTTTCTTAAATTATGTAGGAAGCAAGATTTGGAGTTACCAAAGTTACAATAATAATAGATTTTACATAAAAATTGTTTTTTTCTTTAAATGTACTAATCTCATATCATGTAGAAAACAAAACGTACAGTTACAAACTGTCATTACAATTAATTTTTAAAATTTTTGTGTATTTGAATCAATTAATATTTTCCTTTGTAGCTTCAGATTTTGGTTCATCCTTTAAATTTTTTTAAGTTTATTTATTCATTTTGAGAGAGACCGAGAGAGAGAGTTGGGGAGGGGCAGAGAGAGAGAATCTTCAGCAGACTCAGTACTGTCAGGGCAGAGCCTGTTGCATGGCTCAAACCCATGAACCAGGAGATCATGACTTGAGTGAAACCAAGAATCAGCCGCTCAACCAACTGAACCACCCAGGTACCCCTTGACTCATCCTTTCAAAATCTTTTCCCTAACAGCTACACAAAAATCAATTCCAGATCTAAATGTAAAAGCTAAAATAACAAGGAAAAAAAATAACAGGAAAGTATCTTCATGACTAGGAGCAGGCAAAGGTTTCTTTTAAAGGACACAAAAGCAGATGATTAAACTTTATTAAAATTAGTAATTTTTTTCAATTAAAAAACCAACAATAAAAGAATGAAAAGGCAGACACCAAAATGGGAGAAGATATTTTCTCCTCTATACAGTGTAACAAAAACTTGATCCCTAAATATCATCTACCTATATGTAAATCATCTTATAAATTAATAAAGAAAAGATAGTAACCCAACAGAAAAATAAGTAAAGCGCCTGAACAGGCACCTCACACAAAAAATAATATCCAAGTGGTTGATAAACTTATGAAAAGATACTGAACATAAACAGTCTTCAGGGAAATAAATGTGAATTAAAACCACATTTTGCTAAATGACACATAGCTAGGGGATTTGAATGTAGACAGTCTGTTAACTTCTCTTGCTCTTTTTACTTATATTTAAATTGAGAATATTAATACCTGTGCTCAAGGAATCTACAGTCTAAGTGAAATAACAGAAAACAGATAACTATGTACTGAAATAAAGTGAATTGTGTACTAAAAATCCAGCACTAGAAACACAGTGACTATATTCTTTACCAAAAAATCAGCACCAATTAGCCTAAAATGTTCTTAAGCCTTCCATCTTTTTCCAACAAGTTTTGTCTTGTTCTTTGTCAACCCCCCCAATTCCAGGGTGCCTGCTGCTGCAGATGAGCCCATTGAGAGTCTCAGTGCATAAAGTGACACAGACCAGACTCTTGGCCCTATAAATCTGTCCTCATCCTGTGTCTCACTGAACATTTTGAAGTTAAGCCCAACACATCTACCGATGTAAATAGCCTCTCTCCTCATCATAATAGTTACCATTTAACTAAAAACACCATGTCATTTAATTCTTGTAACAATCCCATCAGGTGAGTATTATTTTCTCATATAAGAAATCATTCCTATTTTATAAGAAATTAGAGACTTGGAGTGAATAATCCACTTATCCAAAGTCACAGAAATGGCATATTTTTAAAAATTAATGTTACATTATTTTTTAATATATATGCATTCAGAGGATGTAGACAACAGTGAATTCTTAATTAGGATAAAAATAGAATTTAAAATTGTAATCTAGACCTAGAGAAAAGCTAAGATTTACTGAATGTTAGAATTTTTTGAGTATTTAACCCCCCACACACAATTTTGCACTTATTATTTTTCAGTCACTATGCCAGTCACCAAAGATACCAAGATAAGACTTCACAAATACCATCACCTTGGTCATTGATTTTCGATGTACAGTTCCCAGATCAACAGCATCAGCATCACCTAAGAAACTGTTAAAAGTGATATTTTTTAAGCAACACCAAGATTTCTGGATCAGAAACTCTCAGAATGGTGCCCAGTAGTCTGTTATGAATGTTGCAGGTGATCCTAACGCATGAGAAGCACTGCCCTAGGTCATCACTCTAGTCTCCCAGGTGATGAAATTTAGGAGGTGGTTTGAGAGTACGAATCAAAACAAAGATTTGCTCGAAACCAGTCTCCACTATGTCAATAAAAAAATCACTGAGATCTAAAGATAGATTTACCCAACTCCAAAGTCCACATTTTCTTTCTTTCTTTTTTTTTTTTTTTAAGTTCATTTATTTGAGAGAGAGGGAGAGAGGGAGGGAGCATGTGCACACATGGGAGAGAAAGAATCCCAAATCCCAAGCAGGCTCCATTGTCAGCACAGAGCCTGACACAGGGCTTGATCCTACAAACCATGAGATCATGACCTGAGCCAAAATCAAGAGTTGATGCCCAACCAACTGAACCACCCAGGTGCCCTCCCATCCACATTTTCTATCCCTGTGCTCCACTGACCCCAAACAACATGAACTGTTGTTGTCTTTATGGGTCTGAAGGGGTGGGTGCTCATGTCTTTCCTCATAGGCATGCTGTTGGCACCTTGATACTGCCATGGGGGTGGGGGTCCTGGGGGTGGCACAGAGAAAAAAACTCCTTAAAAACCAATATGTTGAGAATGGAATGGTGTATGTAGGATTTGGGAGTCATGGGGGCAGGGGGAGGCACCCTCCAGAACTTTCACTTGATTGCCCCAGTAGGTCTGATCTCAGGTAAGTGAGAGCCCCTCTTCTGAGTTTGCATGCCACCCATACCCCTTTCCCAGAGCTGTTACTGGTGTTTCCTCACCTCTGACTTAGCTCCCCCCCCCCAAAACCCAGGCCACAGTAACCCTACACCTGGGACTAGCTGGGCCGCCCACGGGTGATTTCACCCTCAATCTCAGCTTCCAGGCTGCCTGGGGCCCTGTCCAGAAAGTAGGGCTAGTATGTGCTGAGTGGGACCGACAGCAGGACAGGTGGCTGCTCACCCCAGCAAGGTTCTTCTGGTCCCCCACCTGGCAGAGCAGACAGAGGTATGTTTGTTGACAATGACAAATAGCTGATGCCTGTTGACAAAGACATGGAACTGCCCTCAACTGAGCAGTTTTTATGTTAGGCATTGATTTGAGGAGGCAGAATGCAATAGGAGTCTGGGAAGCAAGAATCCCTCGCAGCTCCACCAGCACAGCACAGTGCTCACCACACACCAGGCCAGTTCTAAATGCTTTACGTGCACTAGCTCACGTAATCCACACAGAACTCTGCGAGATAGCTACTATTACCATCCATGTTACAGGTCAGGAAATACAAACAGTAACTTGTAATTTGCCCAAGGACAACAGGTTGAAAGTACTCATTATTCATCTGTAAACCAGGGATACAAATGCAGGCGGTACACCTACATAACTCAAGTTTTGTAGCAATTCAAGTATCTCTTAAGCTGGAACCGTTAGTTTTTTCCCCCTTCCACCTTTTTAGACAGAGGAAAGTTCCTGGAAAGATCCAAAAGAAATTGGTAACCATGGCTGTGTCTCGTGGCTGGGGGACAGGATGGGAAATTTACTTCTCATTGTATTTATCAATATATTTAAATAATAATAATAATAATTAATTATTATTATTATTTAAGGTCTGCTTAGCCCCAGGTGAAGCTGGCTGGGGCTTCTGCTTCAGAAACCCCACGAGGATGAGTCCAGGCCTGAAGGGCACGCAGTGACAGGTGGCCCGCCCAGGATCACCAGCGAGCTACAGCGAGCTCGGGTCCTTTTCCATCCGCACCAAGGAGGGCATTTTACTTTTTTTTTTTTTTAATGTTTGTTTATTTTTGAGAGACAGAGCATGAGTCGGGGGTGGGGGGGAGGCAGAGAGAGAGGGAGACAGAGTCCTAAGCAGGCTCCAGCCTCTAAGCTGTGAGCACGGAGCCCGATGCGGGGCTCAAACTCACAAACCGTGAGATCATGACCTAAGCTGAAGTCGGACGCTTAACCGACTGAGCCACCCAGGCGCCCCAAGCAGGGCATTTTAAAACCCGGAGTAAGGGAGGGAGTGCCCACCTTGACTCGGTGGCTTGCACCGCTTTGGAAGGTGGGGGCTTCGCAGCGGGCTGGTGGCCCCGCCTAGGCGGCTGGAAGAAAAGGCCGACCCCCGCCCCGCCCCTTCTCTCCAAATTTAAGAGTTCCTCGCCCACCGCTGGGAATGCTCCCGGCCAGCAAGTCTCTCTCCCTTTTGCGTGGTGCTCCCGCTCGCCTCTTGCGCTCCCTGCACGGCTGCCCACAGGCCGTGGCTCCACTCCCTGTGCCGGTCGGGGCAGGGGCCGCGCCATGCCCAGCCGGATGCCGCAAGGCCGCCGGCCGCCCGCCTCCCCGGGCGCTGGAGACCAGAGCCCGGAGCTCCAGCAGCGCCCCTCGGGCCCTGGCACGTCCCGCGCTCCCGGACGCCTCGAGTCTTCCTTCTCCGTCGAGGCCATCCTGGCCAGGCCCGCCCGCAGCGCGCCCCCCGCCGCCGCCCGGATGTCCCGCGCCGCCGCGGACCTCGGCTCGGCTCCCTCCCGGTTTCCCGCGACGTGGCTGCCGGCCTACCTGAGCGTGAGTCTCCCCCAGCCGTGCCCCCAGCTGCCCCGGACGGGGCTCCGCGTGGCTCGCTTCTGCGGCCTCCAAGGCCTTGGCCTCACAGGTACGAGGGGCTCGGGCGCCTGGGGACTGGGGACTCGAGAGCGTGGAAGCCGCGACAGCGGGCACAGGATAGAGACGTCCCTGGGTTCCACGCACTGTCGGTGGGAAGGGGCCTAATGACCCTTGACCTTGCCGTTGAATCCGAGGTCGGAGAGAGAGACTGGCCGAGAACACACCGCCGCGCAAGGCTTCCACTGCACGCACGCTGCTGAGGGGGGAGGCGGTGTGCGTGAGCGCGGGTGCAGAGCTGAAGGTGCGGGTGGGTCAGAGGGGGCCTCGGAAGACTGGGACAAGGCCAGCCCTGGGGCTGCAGAGCGTCCCTTCCTGAGAATGAGAGTCTCTCACTCCCTCCACAGCCCCTTTGAATAACGCGTGATGATAGCGTAGACTCTTCCCCAAAGTAGCTCTCTTCTGGAACGCGCGGGCCCAGTCTTAGCAAGGAGCAGCGGCCGCTGCAGCGGTTAGCTGGCAAATGCCAGGACCCCCGTGCGGGTGAGCGGAAGCCCCACTCTGAACTGTTCTCTGAGCCTGCTTGCATACAGCGCTCCTCAAAGAGGAACCTCGGGCTCTGGGGCGCAGGCACTTAAACCCCAATGAGAATTTAGCTGTGGACCTAACGTTCTCTTCTAGCATTGACATCCACCTATAGGAGCTTTTTGCCATTTTTGGCACTCTGATTCACGCTTCCCCACCTCCCCTCCCGGAAAACAGGAGCAAACTGAACGCAAGCCTTGTCAACCCATACCAAGATCCACGTAGCACAGTCATACCTGGTGCCTGCTCCCTGGGTTCTCTCCATTCCGCATTTCCACCCCTTTCAGCTGGGCATTTCTCCACCTCACCCCTCAGAGAAAGCCTAAGCTCTCAACCCCATCCAGATTCATGCCAGTGCATCTGAGCAACATGCCCATGGTTCCAAAACAACTTTCCCTAACCTCTTCACACAGCTGAGGTCTGAATGGCAGCTTACTGTTTTATATTAGTTAATCTCATTTCCAAGTTAGTTTTTTAAAAAATATTTATCTATTAGAGAGTGCGTGCTTGAGCAGGATAGGGACAGAGAGAGAGGGAGGGAGAGCAAGAATCCCAAGCAGGTTCCCGGCTGTCAGCACAGAGCCCAACTCAGGGCACAAATCCCACAAACCATGAGATCTTGACCTGAGCCAAAACCAAGAGTTGGATGCTCAACCGTCTGAGCCACCCAGGTGCCCCTCCTTTTCAAGTTAGTTTTTGCATAGGTAATCCATTCCTACAGTTCAAACTCCACAATGTTTCCTATAACAGATCGAGAAGAGTTTCCCCTAATATTCCTGTCCCGCAGTCACCTGGTTAACTCCACCTCACAAGCAGCCAATGAAGTCTCTTTATTCTTCCAGGATTATTTTATGCATATTTAATACGTGTGTGTGTGTGTGTGTGTGTGTGTGTGTGTGTGTGTGTGTGTATGCTCTTTAGGCTTAGAGTTGGCTCACTGCTCAGGCCTCTGGGGCACTCCAGACTGGGCTCCAGCCGAGGAACTTCAGGACACTGAGAGACCTCAAAAGAGAGTTCGGACTATGTTTAACTTGAAGCAGCTGGAAGAGTTGGAGAAAGTGTTTACAAACCAGCACAATCTGGTGGGGAAGAAGAGAGCCCAGCTGGCCGCCCAGCTCAACCTTACTGAGAACCAGGTGGGAGCAGGGACTCTTATGGGGCCGGGGCTGTACCTGGGGGCAGACACTGCTCTCCAGAAGGCCCCAGGTGAGGCTGAGGGAAAGACATGGGCCTTCTTTCTCTGTGCCAGGCCATGGAGGGAGACAGGCCCTAATCACTGGCACACTTCCTACATGAATGAGGAAAGTAGTCCCATTTGAATTCACATTATGGGAACAACCATGTTAATCTAGATATTAATCTAGAACTTTATGTTTCCATGTTAAAAAGGGAGCTCACCGAGAAGTTAAGTGTGTTCAAGGGACTGAATATTAAAAATAATAATATTCACTAGAACCCCATACTTCACTAGAGCTGCTACACCACTTTTCTTCTCTTTTCATAGGCAAACTTCCCAAGACTTTGTTACAGTCACTCCATGTCCTCACTTCGCATCTACTTAACTCCTGAATCCTTTCCCTACCATTCCATCAAAACTTCCCCTCCAGGTCTCTCGACCTCCATGTTGCCAAAGTCAACAGATGCTTTCCTCATCTTACCCCCCGGCCCCCCCCCCCCCC